TTTATATATACTAATATAATATTTTAAAAGTTAATTAATAATATATATTAAAATTTCTATTAGTAATTAATAAATGAATAAAAATTATTTATACTAATATAGTAGGTACTACAATGATTAGTACAATCACTACAAGAATAATCATTTTAGTTGACGATAATTATTGTGGCTATGTCGTCACAAAAAATACCGTTACAATAAGAAGTATTATTGTGACGACATTCGAACATATAGCGACAATATTAGGAGCCGGTTTAGAGTATATCGGTTCTTGTCCTCGCCGGTAGAACGCCGGAAACCTGCAAATAACTCTCACACCGGGGGTTGTGTCCGGTGAAGAGCCTCCGATGCTTAAGTCAGTATGTGTATGAGTATACTGGAGTTGAGTAATGAATAGAATGTGTTAAGGGGAAAAGGCTCACCCCCTTTATATAGGGGTGAGTTACTTGCCCTAATAGCTGTCCGGATAAGGATGAGCTGGCTGCCCAAGCTGCCCGTCCGTACTCTGTCACGCCACGCACATGTCAGAGGTGGCGCAGGACGTTGGGAGCTATCAGAGGTGGTTATCGCTATCACCCAATATATCATCGACACGTGTCCTCCTGCACATGGGATGAATATTATCCTGGAATTCGGTTGGAGTCTCTTACACGCGCCTGTGACTAGGCCGATCTGTGGAGTGTTGAGTCAGCAAGATGCTCGACCTGCTGAGGTCGATAAGGTTGCTCGATCGTTGGTTTGGTCGAGTGATGGGTTGGTCGACTATTTGATCGGTCGACGAGTTATTCTGCTCGATCTTCTCATTGCCCGAATCGATTCCTTCTTGATATGACCTCTCCGTCCGGGTCAGCAGACCGGTCTAGCTTGGGGTATATAATATCCTATATCATCTAGTCCCCCCCCCACTCTGGTCGAGCTTGACTGACTCGACCTAAGAGTGAATTTGTGCCTCATCGACCTCCTGGGGGCGTGATGTCAAATATCGACCCTCTAATGGGTTTCCCGCTTGATTTTTGAATGATGTTTCATTAATTACCAGAAATAAAGCGTTCTGCCACACGCCTTTTTGTCGTACCCGCTTTTTCACCACGTGTCCCGCTTGTCAGGTACTTGTCTGGTGTTTTAATGATGACGCCTCCTCGCAGAACGCGCCCGCTTTGAGTGTCGTGCTAATTAATGTTGTCCACCATCCGATCTAACTTTAATCCAACGGTCCACATCTTTTCAACCCTTGGAATCTCCAAGGTATACGTTCCACAATTACCGAATTTTCGGACTTTTTCTACCCTTGCAATTTCGAACTCTCCTGCTCCTAAAATTCTTTCTGCAAAAAACTTTATCTTCCTCGGCGATTTTTCTGCAATCTTTTAGTATTCCTGATTCTCCTCTCTGCGATTATGAGTAAGTTGTTTTTCGCCTGATTTACACTTCCTGTACTTGGAATTTTGTGTTTTGAAAAAAAAAATTCTCTCTTTTTTTTTCAAATTGGGTATCTGAAATTTGCTGGTTGAGTGTTTTACATCTGTGTGTTGAACTTTTGTGCTCGCCTGTTAAACGTTGTAGATTTCATCCTCTCCTTTTGAAATTCTTTCGGAATCCCTGTTCCCTTTCTTGAAAATCGCCATTCTCGTGGAACCCTAATTTTAATAGCCTTCTCCTCCTCCCTCTTTTCCTTTTTTGCTAAAATTCCTCTTTTTGGTATTGTTCCTTTCTTTTTTGTTTTCAGATCCTGCTACCTCGACCACCTCCTCTGATTCCGTTGAGATATTGCCTTCTGCCCTTGAAGTTGTTCCTCTTTCTATCCTCCGCCCCGGCGAAACTGTTCCTATACGCGTTTTCACAGCTTGTGTTGCTTCTTCCAACTCCGGGGATACCATGGATAACATTCCCCTCCGTCGTCGTCGACCTGCTCTTGGCGCGTTAGACGAGCCAGAGGAGGACGAGGTCCTTTCTGCTCAACCTACTGCTCCCGCCTCTTCAACTATTCCACCTTGTTCCTCCCCACCCGGACCTTCAGACTCTCCTCCTAAGCGATCCTCGACCAAGAAACTTTCTAAGCGTCCATCTTCTACTTCTCTCTCCCGCCCTCTCTCTAATAAAAATCGGCCAGCCTCTTGGTTGGGCATTCTTTAGGTCTTCTTCTTCTTACAAATAAGATTATCCTCCGCAAGATTGTTATACTTTTTTCGAGATTCAGTTCAAACTCAGTCTCCGCTTCCCTCTAAGTCCCAAGCTGCTTCGCATTTGCGAGTGGTTCTCACTTCCCTTACATCAACTTCCTCCTAATGTTATCCGTTTCCTGAACACCTTCATCATTCTCTGTCACGTCCGTTTAGGTCGATTCGACCTAGATTTCTTCCACTATTACTATACCCCATCTAAGCAAGGTCGAGGCCTTTATTTGAAGAGCCACAATGGCGCCCATTTTATTAATGACATTCCTTCTAATATTCTCAAGTGGAGTGATAAATTCATTTTTGTTCGACCTGATGCCCCTTTTTCTTGGCCTTCGATCCCTTGGATCAAGGAAGTTTCTCCAGAGGCAGCTTCAGCCCCTCCTCTAAATCCTCTTTTCGACCAACGGGTCCATACTTGGAATTCTAAGACCGTTGCCTCAGAAATACTTCTCAAGGACGAGAATCTTCTCCACTACTGTGGTCTTCTCACCTATAAAACTTGTCCTCCTCCTACCGATAAGGTCCTCGATCTCATTCGGATTGAGACTGATCCAGGTAATCCTCGAGCAGATTAGTCAAGTTGTTTATGCGTTTCTCTTTTTTTTTCTGGTTAATTTTGGCTGATTATCGGATATAATCTGTGTTGTGATCTTCTTGTAGAGGTGCCCAGTTTCAACATACCCCCGAGGAAGACTCCTCTAAAAAAGAAGTCTGGGGCAGCCTCTGGCTCGACGAGCGACAAGGCCGAAGGATCAGCCAGTTCTGGTGGGTCTCGACCGGAGTCACAGCAACGATCGCCCCCACGAGTGACTCCGCCACCTCCTCCACCGCCGTCAAAGGAAACGCAGCAACAACAACAACAACAACAACCTCCACCTCGGCAACAGTAGCAGCAACAACAACAACAAC